TAACCTTCCTGTAGGCACCGCCTTGGAGCCCACGGTTCATCGTATGTAGCTTTCTCTCTTCGCGATGGCGTGTTCACGGTTGAGGCCCCCGGTTGCTCATGTAGTGCTAGGGGTGGTGTTGCTGCGCTCAGCGCCTATGTATCATGCCTTGGGTGTGTGCGTGTTCTGGTGGCGTGCGTTGCACCGGATTGTTGATGATTTTTGCTTTATATATAAAGCGGGGCGAAAGCCTTTTTGGGTAAAGGATGGTCATTACTCGGCTGAAATGGCGGCAGTTAGAAGATTGGAGTATTTGTTACATTATGTGTCTGGCGAATACTCCCAGCAAGAAATTAGGGCATTTGCAATTGCATATTAACTGCAGTCTAGGGGTGCGCGAGAAAGTGAATTAGTGATGTATATGTAGCATATATACTGACAGAATGTAAAATGAAACCAAATAAATGGAAGATCTCATAGTAGCGAAATCAACATGTTTCTTAGACAAAAAAATCATGCTATTTCGTAAGTGGAATCGTACTTTTGTTGCACTACAAGCACCCAGGATTGTTTTTAGTCATAAAGAGTGGGTGTGTAGTGTTGGGAGGCGATGCCGGACCAATCCCAACACGGAAGTATCAAAACAACTTATATAAACTAAAATCTCAAATATCCTTCACGTGCGCGCATGGGGTGTGGCGGAGTATTCTGAAAGGAGACAGAACTCAGATTCGTACCTGGTCTCGTTCATGGGTGCCCGACAGTCAAGTAGTCATGCCAGTGCCAATCTCCCTACTGAAGTTGGCAAGTTGCCGAGCTCATGAACAGTGACTGAAACATGGATCGATTCGCCAAACTTTTGCAGCAGAGGATGTTCCAGTGGTCCTTATCACGCCGATATGTGAGCAGGGTGAAGATTCGGTCCGGGGAACTACTTGGCACACAGAACTTGAGCGCATAATGTATCCTGCACCTTGATGATTTGCCAGCCTTGTGACATGAAGTTTCACCCTGTGACTGGAAGCGAATCAGGATGGGACCAAGTATTGACAAGGTACAGCAGACACAAAAATGAAGGGTTCAAGCAAAGTTGATCCAGGAATAGCAGTACGCTCTTTTAGGGATTACCACAAAGCAATAGCTAGGAGAATCTCGGTGAGGTAGTCCATGGGTTTTGAAGGGATTTTGTTTATGAATAAGTGAGCACAACTGCCCGCTATGGCTGACCGTATGCATGTTTCAAAAACAACTGTTATCAACATCCAGTCTAGTACCTTCAGCAAAAGGAAAGTATAGTGATTAACAGTCGCTGATAAGCTATACAGGAAGATCTTCCTATTCGGTGTTCGTGGAAAGGAATCAATTGCCATCATTTGAAACCAATCTCCTCATAAAAAGAGGGTAATGTTTCCACGTTGAAAGCAATTCGACCAAGGCGTAACTAACAGTAACACGTGTAAAAAGCACACATGACAAGCTCTAAATCATGCATACAAAAAAAATCCAAGTGAATCTAGATGCATATTTTTCTTTAACAAACGGAACAATGAATGATGTCTAAGTTTCTTTCATGTTAGGCATCTCCAGCCGCGCCCCCAACAGGCCCTCCCCAGGCGATTTTGCCGCGCCGGCAACAAAAAAAAGCCCCAGTCGCGCCCCCAGAAGACCGTTTTTCGCCGGCTCGGGCCAAAACTGGTGCCGGCGGACCCAGGCCGAAGCCGGCGCCCTGGGGGGCGCTTGGGGAGCCGGCGCAAGGGAAAAAGGCGCGTGGGCCCG